TGCTGTGTCACTACCCCACCATCTTTGACTTGCTGGCCACAAGTCTTGAAATATTGTACTTTTCTTAATCTAACTTACCACTTTAACCACACCATTCATTAGTCATTCAATAACTTAACTATACTGACATTATGGCAACATAATGAAACTGAATAGTACACTAATTTTGCCAGTTTCTGAATGTTATACATCTTTGCAAGAAATTGGTACAGGTCACCATTTGGTTTGGCACAGAAGGATTGTACCACGGCCTTTCTGAGCTGAAATTACAAACTTAATTTTTCATAACACTCTCTAGGTGAGTTTGTAGCAGGAAATATTTAGTGTGAGGATTTATTCAGTCATGTATGCATACATACTCTTATTTTGGGTATACTTACCTGAGTTGTTGAATACTTTTCTGTCCTGGGTTCAGCAGTAGCAGTCATTTTTTCTCCCTTTTAGTAATTAGTGCAGTGCTGTCTTTTTTTACTTTCGACCTGGGAACAGCGCTGATAACACCAATGTTTTTAGTTACTGCTCAAATGTTTAGTCTGACCAAGGACTTTCTGAGCCTCATGCTCTGCCAGGGAGGAGGGGAAGCCAGGAGGAAGCAGAGACAGGACACCTGACCCAAACTGACCAAAGTGGTGTTCCATACCACAGCAGGTCACGCCCGGGATATAACTGGGAGTTACCTGGAAGGGTGGGTTCACTGCTCAGTTGGGCTGGGTATTGTATTCTCTTTCCTTGTTATTTCCCTTATCATTATTATTATTGGTGGTAGCAGTAGTGGTTTGTGTTATACCTTAGTCACTGGACTGTTCTTATCTCAGCCCATGGGAGTTACATTCTTTCTATTCTCCCCATCTCTCTGGGAGCAGGGCTGGGGGGGGGGGGGGGAGAAAGGGGGAGAGTGAGCTAGAGGGCTGCTTTTCAGTTTCTCTGGAACAGTGATTTACAGCTATTTAAAGACATTTACAACGTATTGAAAGAAAACAAACCCCAGTTAAAGTTTCATAATATAGGAATTAACAATTAACAACAACATACTGAAATAAAATTAGCCCAAATAATGAAAAATTATTAATCTGAAATAGGCTAGTATAGCAATTTTATATAAATAAGGTCAGGGAACTGCAATTTATTTACTTTTTCTGATTTATATTACTTATAGCTACAGAAAAAAAGGCTGTTCTTTACCTGCCCTCTGGGCAAAAGCAGTGAACTAGATAAGTTATTTTGTCTACCTATTTCCAAACTTCTTTAATTGGGTAGTTAGAAAAAAATCTCTACTCAGAGCAACTGATTAGATTGCATCTGTATGACTAAATAAGCACAGAGCCAAATACCCTAAACATATTGCAGCTATTTACAGGGATAAAGAATATACAGATTTTTCTCACACAATTGTGGGGGTTTTCCTAACATTGTCTTATTGCCTTGTGATTTTCCTTCTTCATTGTTCTCAAAAATGTCTGCTTGACTGAGGACTTCCTTTTCACCTTAAAAAAAAAAAAGAGCAATGTAGCAATGAATGATACACTTAAAGAGGACAAATTCAAACTAAACGATTTGAGAGAGAATGACAAATAATGTAAAGAGAAAGGACAATAGAAATGCTCCCAGAGAACATATTAAACTGAATTTCTGAAGGCATTTATCTGTTGATTTGTCTTTGTACGCCAAGTTGTGGGTTTTTTTCAGTTCACTGTCACAGACCAGGAATAAGACCCATGGCAGTAAGGATAGAGGAAGAGCATTGGCAAAGGGCAGTTATCTAGTCAAAGTCTGTAGCTTTTACAATGTTTTATGATAACTTTGTTTTTTATCCCTTCAGCTAATAAATCTGGAAAGTACAATACTGTTTAGAAAAAGACATTTCTGAAGAAGGTAAAGGAAGTATGGAGATGAAAATCTGAGCTGTATTTTTCTGTGTTTATGCACATAAGGATGCCATTACGTATCTAATGGTTCTATAGAGTATTTTCAGCTGACTCATATCTTCCTGCTGTCTATTGCATGCCTACAGTCACTGCATATATGGAAACCCAGAGCAGGTCCAGTCTTACCAGCAATAATCGATGAAAGGGGAGATTTGACAAAGAACAATAACCTGATGAAAAGTATTCATAGAGAGGGGAGTGGTTAAAGAACAGTGATTTTCCAGTTAATCTTAGAATCATAGAAACAACTAAAAGCAAAATACAATTTCTGTGTATTATCCAGTGCAAAATTATGCCTTGAAGGATACTTAAAATTAGTTTGCACACTCAGTTATAAAATGTCACCTCATAATGCTGCTTTCATGGGTGTACATAACCTTGTTGTTTGACAGAATACATAATTAAAAAATATTGCCCGATATTCAGAATTAATTTTCCTTTTCATACGTTTAATTCAGAACTAACTAGAACCTCTTGGTCTTTCCGTCACCCATGAATTTATTCTCCTTTGTTTCAGTTTGCATAGATCAAGAAATCTTGCGCACAGTCAGAGGTCTCCGGCACAGACTGATTTGTACAAGTTGTAATCCTCAGACTTTCTTCATGTGAAGGTGGATCCAAATATTGTTCCTGGAATTTCCATTTGCTATAAATTCATACATGCCTGGAATGTTACATTTATTTCAGTATTACATCTAAGGAAATAAGAATAACCAGACTGAGAGAGCTGCTGACTAGTCCTTCTCTGCCTGGAAACCTAACCTGGAGGTATATATATGAGGATGGATGGAAACTTTATTTTTCTTAGGTATAGTGATATGTTATTTTTTTAAAGGCTTTATCTTCTTTTATAGCTGCAGTAAAATCTGATTCTAAAACCACTCCTGATAAGAGTATTTTTGTCTAGTATTTGTATTCAACATCTGTTTCAGTAAAACAAATTGATTTACTTTGTTCTTCAATGAAATAGTGTGCTTAAATAGTTACATGTATTCCCCTACATTATACTCAGTTTGTGGGGCAACTAAATTTTTGCTGAAATACAGCAGTTATCAACAATCATACTAAACTCTCATGATCTTGTTAGACCAAAAGAAGAAGTATTCAAGGAATAATGGTCCAAGTTTCATGAAGCTGATGAGACCACTGAGCATTTATGTAATCCAGACTTACCTGAACAATGTGATTTTTGGCTGTAGGACTAATGCTCTTTACATCCAGCTTATTTGAGGTCTGCATGCAGTGTTGTCTGATAACTTGAGAAAGGGACTGTGGTTAATTATGATTTATTACTCACCTGTTTCAGAAAGGCACTAGGCTTCATGATGTAAACAGTTAAAAGAAACAGAAGTGCTTAAAAAGAGGCTGGGTTTTTTCATGCTGTGCAATTTGATACCTACTATTGAAAAAAGAACATTTTATCCATTTTGTTACAGGAAATATTTATATATCATTAGGACTTGAGACCAGTTCTTCCATCCAGAAAAATTATCTGTCTGATTTCCAAAACAAATATAGTACATTAGGTTTTTTTGTTTGTTGGCTGTTTGTTTTTAACTGTTGTTCTAAATATGGTGTCGTGTTTCCAAGAATAGGAACTCTTGATCTTTTACAACTCAGAAAATTGTCAAGAGTTCCATTTTCACTTTGATCCCTCTATGCAGAGATAGCATTAGAATGGATACAGCAGAAGATGATAGTATAATCAAAGGACTGCTAAGCTCTTCCCAGTGGATGGGTGCTGCTTGCTAGGGAAAGGTTCTAGGTACTGGTAACAGTGTGAAGTACTCTGGGGCAGGATATGAAGCTCAGCAGTGAGCTCAGTTGGGCACACCAGTCCAAGGTAAGGTGTGGGTTGCAGATGTGAGGAGCTGAAGCAGAGACAAACTCGCTGAGAGGAAACGCAGTGTGGAGGTAGGTAAAAAGGGAACAGTAGAGTAGTTGTGGAAGATATATCTGAGCATGGAGGCAAAAGCAGAGGTCTGGAAGTAAGAAGTAGGGGTACAAATCTGAGGAAGAGAATGAGTGAGTTGGGAAAGAAGCAGCAGCAAGTTTCCAAGAGGGGCTGGAGGAGGCAGCTAATCAAGCAGGAAGAGGATGCCAAGAAAGAAACCCAGGCAACAGAAAGTTTGGAAAACACTAACTTTGATGACGCTAGCTATGAATGATACAGATACACCCCAAAAAGGGTAGATTGGTCAAAGTCTAAAAAAAAAATATTTAAATCTTAAAAACTGAAATGTGAATATAATTGTTTTTATTGAACACTTTAATTTCTATTTGTGCTGTTTGAAAAACCTGGCAAAATTATTTCCTCATCTGTTCCTCTGACTTACACTGTTTTGAGGTAAATGAATATTTCGATGAACTAGTTTCATTTTGAAATGATTAAATATATTCATGCTTGATAATATGCATCAGTTCTTTCTGTGGGGGAAGATTATTACTAGAAATAATGTGGTGCATTAGAACTACATTAGAATGTAGATTTAGGCCATATTTAATTTCCTCCTGAGCTCTGTGTTGTTCACGAAGTGTACAGAATAGATGTAGTCAAAGGTAAAAATTGACAGAATCAGCTTGTGCCTGCAGGGGTCAGCAGAGAAGTTGCTGAAATTCTGCCCCTCTCAATCTGCTCTGGTTTCATTTGCTCTGTAGAGCACAGTATGCTCTGATAGAACCAGCACACACATTTTGAATTAATCACTCAGCTCAGCGTTAATAATTCAGTGCAAATTATAATAAGCTGATCTGCAAATGTACCTTTGAAAGTCAATGGCAGAGCTCTCTTTCACATTCAAGCTGCAGAATCTAAATCTTGCTGGAAAAGGGTTGGAAATCCCTGAAACCTATGTTGTTTTACTCAGAGTCAAAATCAAAACATAACCTTTTCTGTTTCAATGCGTCAGCAGGCTGATGAAGAGAATATATAAAATAGGATCTTTTTTCCCAAAATAAGGATGTCTAGCAGTGCTAGGTTTTCCGAGCTTCATGTGGGATACTCATAATGCATGATGATTTAAAGATGAACCTCTAGCTCTGGCAGATGATCCTAGTCATGATGGATTATTTTTCCCACCTCTAAAGAGAAAAAATTGAGGATCTTTGTTTCAGTTTCAAATGCTTTCTCTGTACTAAAAGGATTTTCTTTTAACTCCAGAGTTTCTGTGAAAGAAAAGCCTGTCAGTAAATTTCTTTGTCAGGAAATCATTTGTTTCTGACCAAACTTAGCTTTTGTCTGTTTGAGCCAACAATAAGTAACAGGAACTGAAGTCTGTCCAAAGGCATGGTTTTGTGGTTCCCACTGGGCAGCAAAATGGCTGAGATGGCCAACTCAGCTAATGGCCAGCTGAAATTAAACATTTCATTTCAGGTCAGCAAAGTAGAATGAAATTTTTCAGTACTTACACATACATTTTTAATATTATTTTATGCGTAGAATGGATACAGCAATAACAATTACCTCATATTTTATTAAAACTATGTCAAATTCCAGGCTGATATGAGAGATTTCTTTTTTGGTCACCTCTGCATTAAATGTGAAACAATAAAACAGAAAACACTAGAAATGACAACTGGAAACTGTAGATCGGAAATATTTCTAATATTCCCAAATATGGTTAGCAATGGTATTCTGTGTACACATTCTTGACATTTTTAAAGTAAAGAAAATATCTATAGTGAGGAATGGAAAATTACACTAGGCACCATTATCCTTATATTTCTTGAAGTGCACTTTTCAATATGAACTACAGCTGATGTTGTGGTCCCAGCTTCTGAAAGGGGAGGCATTTGTCCCATCTCCAGTAGAGAATATATCCACTTATTCATCCCCCTTTGGCCTTTTCCTTTCCTTCAATAGCTTAGTTTGTGAGCTATTACAGTTCCTAGCTTCCTTTCAGCATTACTGTTGCCTAGTAAATTGTTCCCTATGCAGTATTTTTGCAGCTTAATCTTCCAGCCCAAGTATTAAACTTTACAGCTGCCTTTATCAAATGGCATCTTAATTTTTTTTTCTGAAGTATTTTCCTAATTTGTTAAAATAATTTTGAATTGTAAACCTGTCCTACAACGAGCTTGCAGCCCTTCTCTGTGTAGTGTTACTTGTGATTTTAAGAAGTGCACTTTTTATGTCACCGTGTAGTTTGATAGTATAATCAAGGTGTATGTCAAAGTAATTTATTGCAGTCCTTAAAAAGAGAAAAAGAAGGAAAACAGACAAGGGAAGTTCTTATTTTGGCAATAACACATTCAGATGCCAAGCAACACCTATTTTATACTGAGAAATAATTTTCATTCAGGGCCCTCAGTTCCCTCTAAGACTTTCAGTTGCCATGTAGCCTAGAGCAATAGAAAATAGAGAGCTCCCAGGTTAATTTGCTGTGTGAGCAGCATGTGCCACATAGGAAAAGGCCCAGCCTTGGAATATTCAATAATGAACAAAATTTGTGATGCTAATAGCAAATAAGCTGTCTAAAAGAAAATGAAATTTGCTTGCCTTCAAATCCAGGAATACAGAGATTTGTTAACCTGAGCTTCATAATTCTGGTCCCTAAGAATGAATTTAGTAATTTAAAGCCTTTGGGCCTGTACTCAGGTGTACTAAATTTTACCAAAGGCTCTGTGCCTAGTGTAACTTGCATTCAGCATACTTAGCCAATGGGAATTAGGGGGCTTATTAGATCCAAACCCAATATATAACAATGCCAGAGGGCATTTCTTCCTGTCCTAGGAGAGACTCATTGAATAAAGAGGAGAGCCAGGATAGCTAGCATAAAAAAAAGTGGGTGGTCACAGCCATCTGAAATAATCCCACCACATCATGTATCTGTACATTCTCCTGTCATAATTTCTATGTCCATGTGTACTTAGGTAATTTTCAAGCCTCACTTCTTTTGGTAATAATGGAGAAATGGATTGAGAGTATAGCAAATAAATTAAATTAATTATGTAGGAGGCAGTGAAATATGACTAAATGCATTGGGATCTTATTGTTCCTGATGATGCATCTGAATCATTTACATCTGAGCTGTTCAGTTTCCTGGTGGACATGCTCCTACGAGACAGTTCAGTTCAAAACCACCTACAAAGAAACATATTCTTATGTAAATCGATTTAGAAACCATTAACGATTGTTATGGAAGCACTGATGTATATCTACATTGTTGCTGTTATTTATTCAACTTATAATGCCTTTGGACAGGGACTGGATTTGTTTTATCAGAGTTCTGGGACTATAAGAACTGTAATCACAATTGCTAGCCTTTGTTTTGTAATGCAGGTAAGCAATAGCTATGAAAGGACAATCTTTAGTGGGAAAATAGTAAAAGGATGTTTCACATACTCAAAGCAAGACTCTAAAAAAAACCCACAACAAAACAAATCAAAACAAATCCCAAACCAAATAAAAACTACAAGTGAAAAAGATGTATAGATTTTAAGAATTTACCATTAAATATCATGCATTGGAATTTAAATCTCTCACAAAGGCAAAAATAGCTGCTAGTGGTGACCTCAGACAAAATGTCTGTATAGTAGCTATACCTAATCTCATCATTTTCCATGACACTTGAAGGTTTTGTTGCAGTGTATTTGGCTTGTGGCAGCAGTAATGTTTCAAAGTTAACAGGTAACTGTTCTCCTACATGCATAATTGCACTAAGGCAGCCAGCAAACACATGATCCCAATGTAAATTCAGGTTTCTGTGAGCAGAATAATGTTTCCATGTTCCTTTCTACAATGACACCTGTGTTCTCAGAGCTATCCAAAACAGGCAATAACCTGATGTAAATCAACGTCACTCTGCTTACTTTAGTGAACTATCAATAGCTCACACCAGAAAGTCTTAGTGCTGTCATTCTTGGACTTCACTTGTTTCACCATCCCTAATATTGCAACAAAACACTGAGTTATGTTAAACAGTAATTACAGTTTTTATGCCCCAGCCCATTAGACTTCTTTGATTTCAGATTTTTCCTTATGTGACACTCTTCCACCTCTCACAGATCCTCCTGCACACTGATGGCATAAACTTCTGACCTAGTACAGGCTCCTTGGATGACTTTTGGTCCAACAGACTGCATACGTCCTTGGATGCTAACAATATGTCTCTTACAGGCCATCTAGTAATTGAAATAACACAGCTGTCAGGAAAAAAAAAAAAGAAGAAATAGACTATTCTTTGCATTAATTAGCTGGAGAGAAAGAGGGAGATGGATGAAACACTATAAAGAGACTTGCATACAATTTTTGGAGCTTGTTTTTTCATTACTCAAATGTTCTTTGGACAGACATTCTTGCACTGTGTTTGGCTATTTTGGACTAGGGAATCATACAATCATGAAACCATAAAATGGGTTGGGTTGGAAGGGACCTTAAATTTCATTTAGCTCCAACCCACTGTCATGGGCAGGGACACTTTCTACTAGATCGGGTTGCTCAAAGCCCTGTCCAACCTGGCTTTGAACACTGCCATGGATGGGGCACTCACAGCTTCTCTGGGCAACCTGTGTCAATGCCTCGCCATCCTTATAGTGAAGAATTTATTCCTTGTATCTAATCTAAACCCTCTTTCAGGTTAAAGCCAATCCCCCTTGTCATGTCACAACACACCCTTGTAAAAAGTCCTTCTCCAGATTTCTTGTGGGCCCTATTTAGGTATTGGAAGGATGTTAGAGGTCTCCCCAGAGCATTCTCCAGGCTGAACAAGCCCAAAACTCTCACCCTCTCTCCATAGGAGAGATATGTCAGCCTTCTGATTTTGTGGTCTCCTCTGGAACTGTTCAAGTAGGTCCATATCCCTCTTGTGTTGGGAGCCCCCAGGCTGGACACAGGATTGCAGGTGAGTTCTTATGAGAGCAGAGTAGACGGGCAGGATGGTCTCCTTTAACCTTCTGGTCATAATCCTCTTAATGCAACCCAGGACCCAGGTGGCTTCTGAGCTACAAGAGCACATTACCAGTTCATGTTGAGCTCATCAACCGACACCCCCCAAGTCCTTCTCAGCTGCTCTCAATCTAGTCTCCACACAGCATTTATTTGTGCTTAGGACTTCCACCTATGTTTGTAGCTATGGCTGCTCTTTTCTGAAAGTACTATCAGGTTCTTAGGTTTTTTGTTGATACTTCAGCAGTCTTTCATCTTGTCTCTGGTTTAAGAAAGTGGTTTCTAGAGGCTTTTGTCTTTTTTGTTTGTGATTTCAGACAATCTGACATCTTTAAATTTCATCCATCTTTTTCAGTTGTACTGGTATTTAAGGGTCTTTTCTTAATCTTCCATTTTTCCTGTGCTGGAAAACAATCCAACTTAACTCTATTGCAGTGATTTTTTACATGTGCATAATGATGTATTAAAAACACAGCCAAAAATTCTTAAATTTTAAGCAGACGTTTTTTGCAGTCATTTGCTATAAAGACCCAAGAGCAGGTGAAGACACTGGGAACCTCTGAGAGGCTAAAAGAAAGAATTCTTCAAAACTGCTTTCAGGTAGGTTTTTCCTGAAAGAATTTTCTCTGCTGATTAAGGTTACTCTTTCATTGCAAAATCGTTTCCCTGAGGTTCAGGTAGCATAAAGCTTCTAAACATTTCTCTGGTTTCTAAAAGCCATTGTGATAATTTATAATGCACTAAACTATTATGTTCTTTAATATTTAAAAGGATGCTATTTTAAGAGGTAACTGAAAAATAAAGTAATCTAAATCCTGTAACGTTATTTCTCACTCATCTGTGTGCATCATACTTGGTCTAAAGCCAGTGAAATTTATAGATCTAGAATAATTTTTCTGTCTTGCTTTCAGTTCTCTGTTCAATTGTTGAACCTATAGTATATTTTTTGCTAGCTACATGGATTTACAGTCCTTTCCTTACTGATATTCACTTAATTCTGAACTGTAATTATATTGTATTTCCTTGCTGTTTGCAAGTGTAGAAAGTCTTTATTGACCTTAGTGTGATAGAAACCTATCTTTGGTACAGTAGCCAATAAATATTGGGGTTGAAATATGTCTGCTTTAATCTTCATTGTAATCAGTTAAGCGTTGAGGTTGGAACTGCAAAGATTTAATTCAGCCAGCTGTTTGCAGAAGTCTTCAAACTGTCTTTTCTGAGGAATTGGTTGTGATGTTAGGATTCCTTAGTAGAAGAGTAAATCTATACACAAGGTCTAAATTTAGGCACAAGCTGTAAAATGGTGGTTGAAGTATATAGTCAACAAAGTATTACATCTGCTTTTTGGTTATAAATCAATAATTTATAACGCTTAAGAATTTAAGTGGTTTCTAGTTTGTACAGAAAATTTGTATACATATATTTCGAAAATTCCACATATATTGTTTTTCGGTGTTTTTTAAGCAATTTTTTTAATATTAATAATGGCTCATGCATTAGTCAGACTGTCATTTCCCAATGCCATGTAGTAACATAGTTCCTGCTACCACTTCCACTTGTATTAGCTTTTTCTTTTTTTTTTTTTTCCTAACTGATCCTCAGAAATTCAGCTGCACAATCCCTCACTGTCTGGCACTCCTTCACAAAACACAGACTGCAGATACTGCTTAGCTACCAAGATACTTAATCACAGAGTCTCAGGAAAACATAAAATACTTCCTCAGAATGGTAAAATCTGAGGAATAATAATAATAATAATACCTGAGAATGGTAAATAATACCACAGAATGGTAAATTCTGAGGAATAATGGTATAATTGATTTAACCATTCAGGAAAAGCACCCATGAGCTAGATCGCACCATGGACTCACAAAAAGCCCAGAGCCTATTGAAGATCTCCTTCCCAAGAGCCTTATGGAACAGTGCTAGAAGAGGCATTACCCAAAATTGCTGCCTCTGTCAGTAGACAGAAACCATGAGTGTCATTCACGTTCCCCACATACGTTGTAGTTCCTCTCCAATCCCTTCCTTACTTTTCCAGCACAAGCCCTGGCTGTTCTGAGGCTGTGTTATTTTTCCATTACACAGGCTGCACTGTGCACTCACTGAGCTGACCTGTGTGAAGCAGTGTGGGTGGAAATCTTTCTTCCTGATGAGCTAGTCCCCCACATGTTTTCTGTATCTGTTTCAATACCAGAATAAGATGAGGGTTTTTTTGTCTTCTTTATTTCCCCTTTTTTTTTTCCCCTCTCCTTTGCTCCAGCCAGAATGGAGCAGGGGATGCTGCTGCTGCAGGGAATACAATCTCTTTCCCTGTGAAATATGAAAACACTCCGGGTGTTCATTTTTTTTCCACCTCTGTATGAGCCAGGCTTTATCAAGCTTAAGCAGTAAACAGCATCTCCTGGGTTGGTTGGTTTGTTGTTGGTTGGTTGGGTTTTTTTAGAACAAGGTATTTCTTTTTTTTCCTGAGTGGCTTTTCATCAGAAATGAAAGATACATTTAAGCTAAAAAGCTTTTGTGGCAATATATTAGTTTCATCAGAAGTTCCCTAGTGGGGAACACTGAAAGAAAACAGCAAGGCCTATCTTTCTCCCAGGCAGAAGGGAGCATAGGGTTATATCACTTACCTGACTTGTGCTAAGTGCAGGTTCAGCTTCATGTTCTGCCTAATTTAGAAGAGAAACTGGAACCAAAGTCTCCTGGGATGCTGGGTACATGGCCTTAGTATCACACTGCTCAGAATATTTTTTGTCTGTGCCTTGCAGGATTTTCCTAAGACCTTTACATGGTCCTAGTTTTAACTCAAATATTTTTGCAAGATACAAGAGGCTGCATGCTCTAGCATTGTATCTTGTCAGGAAGAGATTCAAAGAATGAAAAGCACTGAAAACAGTGAGTTTGCTGAGAAATGGAAGTTCACAAGTTGGTTATTTCTGTATGTGTTTTCTTAATTATAATTTCTACAGACAGGAACACTGGAGGAGGGAGCTATTGAATCATGGAGTCAAGGGAGAAGTAAAACATAGAAGGAAGAGTTTGGGGTATAACACAACAATGAAATCTTAAAACCTGATGATGTGATGCCACGTAATTCCTACTTCAGACTAACCCCTTCATTCTACTGGCAGAAGCAGACATATTCCTTGATGAAACTCCCACCCTCTCCCAGGTCTCTTTTCAGCTGGCGCATCTCCTCATGCTGGTTTATCATTCAGTTGCCTGTATGCTTGGACCACTTATATAAGGCAGCAATGTACAGATAATATGGGAGTTGCTGGAGCCCCCTTTCAGCGGTGATATCATGCATGTGAGCTTAAACTGAGCATAAAACAACAGCAGAAAGCTCTGGAGGAGATGGGTTACTGTTTAAATAATTTGTCTATCAAGTACAGTGATTTAGAGGCTCTTGGTGGCTGGTTAAATTCCTAGCTCTAGTGAGAAGCTTAGCAGACTCTCAGCAAGAATTTCAGTTGATCCAGGGATTCAAAGGCATTGCCTTGAAGAGGTTTCAACCTTACCTAAAAAAAGAAAAACCTGCCTGCATAGAGCTATATTTGTGTGCAGTCTCACAGGTGTTCCAGGCAGTAAGTCCATACCAACATACAGTTAGGAATTAAGAATTTGGTAGAATTTATGAGCAATAATAATCATACAGGAACCAAGTTGAGAGCAGCATGGGTAGGAACTGCCTGCTAAGATGACGTCGCTGCCTCTTTTTTCCCCTGATTTATACCTCTTTAGCTTGATTTCTAAAACAAGCCATAGGGTCATCTTCCTGACTTTTGCCCTGGGTAAGCATTCTTTGTGTACTGTGAAAAGAGCTCTGCATTGAAGAGGTGTATATGTAAAATATACCTTTTTACATATGTAAAAGGTGCAGAAAAGAAAATGGGTATGTGCTAGCAGAGAAACACAGAAGGGGAATTTATCCTTGTTGCTTCTCAGAAGCAACTGCAAAAGCAAAAAGAAAAGCTGTTTTCTGTTGAGACTCTGCTGCTCATAAAGTTTCCATTGCTGCATGGTGAATTGCAGGGGTTTGTGACAGGTTTGTATACATGCATTACCTGAGAAAAGAAAGTGATAAAATTATTAGTGTATACTCACAGTAAAATTTATGTTTGATTTTTAAAAGTCATTAATAATAAGTGTCTGTTTATTCTTACAAGCAAAATTAAAAACTAATGGAATCTAAAACACTTACCTATATGTGAAGATTTTATTGTGGCTACTTCAGGTTCAGTGAACTTACTGCACATATACTGTTATCCTGTTGATGGCTGAAGTGACTGAGATGCCTGAGGCTGCAGTTAGGAAGTGGGTGACACAGGTAGCAGAGATTTCCTGCTCTCTGTGTTGTCAGAAACACGGCATAGAAACCTTTACTTCTTGTTAGACATCTTCAGTTAGTCTGAAATTAGATCCATAAATAAGCTAAAAAAAAAACCAAATGAATGGGGAATAGGAGATTTTTCAAGTTGTTTTTCTTTCTGAAGCAGCTAAAATGTCTCATTTGATAATAAAACCTAAGAGCTTGTTAAATAGCATTTTTCAAGGGTGCACTCTAGTTGAAATTTTGAGAATTTTTCTGGCAGCATGTTTTTTCTTTTTTAAAGTTACATCTTTTAACATTTAATATTCTAAGACACAGCATAAAAATACCACCAGAATTGCAATATTTTGGGATAGAGGTCCATGAACACTGGCTTGTTTTCTTGGGAAATCCCTATAACCCCTTGTAGATTTTTTCTTCTTAGTACATAGGTAGAACTACTTGAAATCACAAACCTTCAGTATGTTCAAACATGTTTATATGACATTTTATATGTAAGGTGAGTTCTAGGAGACAACAATTCAAAATCATCTCTGCCTTGTAATTTGACTGGCTTGTCATAATATTAATCAAAAACATGCTTTTTCTTTTTAGTTCCAAAACGTCACAGAGGAACCAGTTTGAGCTCCTTTTTTTTTTTTTTTAATTTTATTTTTTTATTTTATGGTCTGACTCATTCCACTGAGGTGTTGAATCAGACCACCAGCTCACATTGCACACTGACCATCATTTCTGATATTCAAGGGGTGTGTGTGTGTGTGTGTGTATATATATATATATATATATATAGATGCCATTTTCCAATAGCTACAGGTAGTTGGCTGATCTAATTTCAATGCATGATTATAGAACCACAAAAGTAGCACATTTCTTAGCTGGATAGACATGTTGCTATTTATGGTTTTTTAGTCATGTATATTTATGAGCTTCTAAAATTGTATGTCCAATTTCAGAACATCTTTACTGTCCAAATCTCATGAATTATAAAGTAAATGTTTTAATATACATGATTATTAACTGTACATAAGAGAAATTATAAGTAATATTATAACTAATTTCCTGTGGTAACTGGTAAGTTGCCTGTATATTTATTTCTTGTGGAAAATTCTGATTTCATGATTCCCAGGCAGAATATTTGTACCTTTGAGAAATAAGGCAGAACACGTTTGACACTTTTAAAGCCCATTTCCATGCCATTTTGAGAGCTTGATCTTCACTAACAGAAAAATACAAACACTTTTTTTCAGTAAAAGAAGTAATTGGCCTGTCACTTAACAAAGATTAAAATCTCCATGCTATTATTTCTGCATCTTTCTTGTTTTCATTTATAGACTGATTAGTATGCTTCACTTTCATGTTTCTTCACCCAGACCCATCTTTACCTCAAGCCTGCAATGGCATCATTTAATTAAGAAAAACAGATAAATATTTTCCAACACTCCATTGTTCTCTCTTGAAATCTTCTGGACTTATGCTGTTCTGGATTCAGCAGTAGCAGTCATTTTTTCTCCTTCTTAGTAGCTGGTGCAGTGCTGTGGTTTTGACTTCCAGCCTGGGAACAGTGCTGACAACACCAATGTTTTAAATTACTGCTCAAATGTTTAGTCTGACCAGGGACTTTCTGACCAAGGACATGCCCTGCCAGGGAGGAGGCGAAGCTGGGAGGAAGCAGAGACAGGACATGTGACCCAAACTAGCCAGAGAGATATTCCACACCACAGCATGTCATGCCCAGGATGTAAACTGAGAGTTACCCGAAGAGCTAGTTCACTGCTCAGTCGGGCTGGGTATTGGTCAGTGGGTAGTGAGTGGTTGTATTCTCTCCCCTTGTTATTTCCTTTATCATTATTATTATTGGTGGTAGCAGTAGTGGTTTGTGTTATACTTTAGTTACTAAATTGTTCTTATCTCAGCCGATGGGAGTTACATTCTTTCCATTCTCCTTCCCATCCCTCCAAGGGGGGAGTGAGCAAGGGCTGCATGGCTGCATTGCCAACTGGGCCTAAATCACGACACATGCACTTAAACAAATTTGCTACATAGAAGCATTTCAAATGTTGTATCGGAATTAAAGAATTTCTGTACCTGCTGTCTTCTGTTTTGTTACTCTAAAAGAACAAAGCTATGTCCTTAATAGTTATCTAAATAGCCACTCAGGTGACATTTCTCTTTAGGTAGAGTATGTAGTGTCTAATAAGGATAGACTCATGCTGCAACCTTAAGTAAAATTCAGGTCAAAATTCACTCAGCTATGAGACACAGCCATTGGGAATCACATATTGTTAGCTTCAGGAGTATTTTTTGAAAAATACACGAGTTATTAAAGCAAAAGGTGAAAGAAGTGTGCTGGACTGAGAGTGGACCTGCAGCATGGGAGATAAGGATATAACAGCCATGAGAAGTGAGGCAGGGGCAGGAGGGAGGGCCACTGTGGAGAAAAGGGAACTGGAAGGGCATGAAGTGGAGCTATGCTTAGGGATCCAGTTGAGGATGAGAGGATGTAAAATGAATGGAAACTTTCAGCATCTGAAGAAAGTAAAATACTTCTTTACTGAAGAGTTGTATTTTAGTGATAACTGCAGTTGACTGCAGACGTGAGTTGCAGCAAGGAATTGCTATTACTGAAACTCTTTACAGTAAAACATATGTTGAATAAATTGTAGACTTGAGTTAGTCTGAACAGTGCTGGAGAGGGAATCTTCATTAGTGTCTGTAGTGACAGGACAAGGGGTAATGGGTTAAAACTTAAACAGGGGAAGTTTAGATTGCATATGAGGAAGAAATTCTTTCCTGTTAGGGTGGTGAGGCACTGGAATAGGTTGCCCAAGGAGGTTGTGAATGCTCCATCCCTGGGGGTGTTCAAGGCCAGGTTTTGACAGAGCCTTGGGTGAGATGGTTTAGTGTGAGGTGTCCCTGCCCATGGCAGTGGGGCTGGAGCTAGATGATCTTAAGGTCCTTTCCAACCTTAACTATTCTATGATTTTGTGAATGCAAACTAGAAATTTAAAGGTTTAAAGTTATATTGCAATCTTAATTTATATTATTTTTTATTATCTGTCATATTTAATCATTAATCAAAGTAATGGTAACTTTAAAATAGATTTGAATCTCAATCTATACTTATATATTGGAGGTTTAAAATTTATTTTTTTAAAAGCAAAGCAATAAAAATAGCTGAACATTTTAACAATCTTACTGAGAAACTTGTGAGCTTGCTGAGTCTGGAAAGCCTTGTGCTTACATGAAATACTCATCCTGATTCAGTAATTCTAAGAATAGCACATGTGATTTTAAACATGTTTTGCAGTACTGTTCTGTGCTGTGAGAGAAACTCTTAGAAGATATACACAGTATGAGGAAAGTATTCTAGTGAAATAAATGAAAACATGTTGGTATTAATTCATCGTTTTCCAAGGTGGAAGACTTAACTACACAATCAAGTGAAGTTTGTTATTTGCTTACATGATTTTTTTTTTCTGCAAATTAGCAGCTTCTACTAATAATTAGTCAGTTTGCACACATGGAATCAAGAAAAGAACTGAAAATATTAACCAGATCAGCCCTATTTCTTTGGTTCTGTTGGAATAGTCCTACTTTATTTGTTGACTACAAGCCCTGTTATATCATCTAGTTAAATACTGTTACCCTCCTGTCCTCCTTTGAGTTATTTCTCTAGGTAGATTGTACATCTCTAAGTTGTTCTAGTCTCTTCTGTAAGCACAATGACTTCTTCAGTGTCAGCTGGAAGGAAATAACTGGTTATTAAGGCATTAATGATTGAGTCTGACATGAAGAAAAAAGTGCACTTAAAATCTTTAATTAGGTGCATCCCTTGTTTTTGTATGACTCACTCACTGCAGGTTTATGATATAATTGGGCTGATTTTCAATCTTGTTTGGGGAGCAGCTGTGATGCGGAAAAATCTCCCAAATCGAGTGCACAAGTTAAAATTCACATAATTGCTCTCCCCACAATTAGCTAAATTTCCTGTCACAGACACCTGTTGAATACTTTAGATGGTCAGGGAAATTTCTAGGTTTGGGAAGTGTCAATTGTGAGAGAGAACTGACAGAAGTAGGAAGAGTATGGGCTGCTACTGCACTGATTTCTCCACTGGGCAAAACTTCACAAAGACATTAGTTCTGCCCCAGCTTTGACTGGAAATGAGATAGGCTTGTGGAAGCACCACAGAGAGTTATCCCACAGCCTGCTCAAGAGATGGCGTTAGCTCTTCTGTCTGAATCCAAAACTGAAGGTCTGACAGCATTATTTTAGTAGGTTGGTTTTGAGCAGGAAGATTAAAAAAAATGTACTGGGGGTTCCTCAGTCTTATCACCTTCTGGTTGTTAGAGCTTAAAATTAAAAATCATCATCCTAGAGAGCAGATGAGCCTCTCTCACTCTGTGCATATTCTCTTTACCTTCAGGAAATCCAAGTAAATCAGCTTTGCAGTGAAAGAGGGCTTAAGGGGACTACATTGTGTTTGATTCCTTGAAGGTAGCAGGGTTTGCTGTAGACAGAGAATAATTACAGTTACCATGGATGAGTTGAAAAGAGGTTTGTTCTCAGCTGTGGTAACCTGACAGTGTGAGCTGTAATAATGAGTTTGAGAAGTGTTTTGGAAACATCTAGTTTATCTTTTCCAAAGAAAAACCACTGTGGTGATGAAGCCAGTGAATAAGCATGAAACTTGAAGATAATATCTGTCAAACAAACACAATCCTGTTCCTTCCCTTTGAGTCATGTATGAGATGTGAAGGTCATTCTTTCCAAAGGTGCCACTTTAGTTCTGTAATCCATAATGCCAACCATCCATTACTCACCAGCCACAAGCATGAAAATTGTGCCACTGTTGCAGAATGTTGTCTTTTTGTCATCTCACCTGTAGCTGCACAGATGGTGACATCTCAGCTTAAATTATGTGTCAAGGCACTGTTGTAGTATGTAAGGAATGTGTAAATGTATTAGAAGAAGTGAGAGTGCGTAATGAGGCATGTATGCTAGAAATTGCATCTAATGCAGCAGAGGAAAAGATATGGCTAACAGCAGGGGAGAGACAAAACCAGAGATTGTCTCAAAAGCCTTCATCCCACACATACAGAATTCATCATTTTATGAATTAAGCTGCCATAACAGAATAGTGATAGGTATATGATATTGAAATTAGTGGAGAGTATGAAAGGCTTCTGTTGTCAATGGTGCCCATAAAAAATAACAAACCACCATGTAATGGCATAATTTACTTTGTCCAGGGGAAAGCAGAAACAGGCT